ATAGATACATAGATGATAGATAGATGATATATAGATGATAGATAGATAGATGTAGATGGATGATAGATGAGCCTCTTACCCCAGGGGAGTCTCTCTTGGCCTCGTGCTGACATCTGGGCCAATGACCCTGTGGGGTGGGGTGTGTCCTGTGCACTGTGCGGTGTCCGGCAACGTCCTCAGTCTCCACCGACAGAGGCCAGCAGCCCTGTGTCACCCACTTGTGACAAGCAAAGATGTCCGCAGACACGGCCGAGTCCCCTGGCGTGTACTCGGTGCCCTGCCTGCCACCCCTCCAGCACCCCTCACCGCCTGCCTCCCTAGGGTAGGGACCCTGTGCTGTCCCCACCGGATGCACCCCCGACCTGGACCCGTCTCGCCCTCGGTCACTCCGGGGTCAGGTGATTTGCTGCTGCCGTCGCTTGCAGTGCAGTTCGGGCCGCGAACCTTTCTTCCGTGCTCTGCCGCGTGCCTCCTGGGCCTGCGGCTGGCTCCTGATCGCGTCTGGGACCCCGAGAACCTCGCCGGTCCCTTCAGGGGGCCCCGGGTCAGGGCCTGCTGCAGCCCCGTGTGCAGCTCGTCCCCGACCTTGTAGACATGTCACCCCAACCTCTGCCTTCGTCTGCACATGACGTTCTCCCTGTGTGCACGTGTCTATGTCCGCGTGTGCTGTCCTTGCAAGGCCACCTGGCACATTAAATTCACATGGAACCTTAACTAGTGACGTCTGCAGAGGGCATATTGCTACTCGAGTCGCGTCCTGAGTTACACACAGGTTTGACTCCAACACGTGGATCTCGGGGTCACGTGTCTCAGCCCACGACCACCGCAGAGTGTCCTCAGTGAGCTGCCCATGATCGACCAGAAAACCCTCCTCAGTGTCCTCTGCTGCCCGTGTCACCGTGTGGGTCTCATCCATGGGCCGAGGACAAGAAGGAGGTGTCGCAGACCACGCCGGGGGTCCAGGGGCCACTCTCAAGCTGATGGGGGGAACGTGGGGCCCGAGGAGAAGTCGCCCCTGACGGATGCTTGCGCTCGATGGAGGTGGGGGCTCCCGGAGAACCGTCCAAACACCTCTTAACGGAGTCGTCCTCCTCGACATGTGCAGCGGGCTGAATCCTGACCCCGAAACACAGGTCCGCAGGCTGACCTGTGGGACGCAGAAGTGGGGTGCTATTAGCAAATAGGGTCTGTGCAGATGGGATTAGTGAAGGGTCTGAGGCGAGTCCTCCTGGAGCAGGTGGCCGTAAACCCAGTGACACTGTTGTCATAAGGGACAGAAGGGGAGACACAGGCACAGAGAAGCCAGGCGGCCACCAGCCCAGGGACGCCTGGGGCCCCCAGACGCTGGGAGAGGCAGGAAGGACCCTCCCCTGGGGCCTCCGGAGGGAGCACCTGGCGGTCATTCTTTTACGACGGTCCCAGGAGACTGCGCAGTTCTGGACCGCGTTAATCTGCGTAGAGCTCAGCACAGGGCACGACGTGCTTCGTGGTCGGCGTGTGACTAAGATCCGGGTGTGGCAGATGAGGACACTGAGGGTCCAGGGAGGGGACGCGGCGCCCCGCACCGTGACAGTCCTCGGCCCTCCAGCGCTGCCGCCTCGGGCAGCCGGCCAGCTCAGTTCGGCGCTGTCCGCGCCCGCGAGGGTGCTGAGGCCGGCAGAGCCGGGCCCGCCTGGAAGTGAAGGAAGCGGACAGGTCCCTGCCGGGCTCAGCGCGGCCGAGCTGCTGCCCGCTCGGTCCGCGTGGCCGGAAGTCCCCGTGCACACGCACGGGGGAGTATTACACAGCCAGGAAGAGGAGAGAAGTTCTCACGCCGGCTCCGATGTGCACAGAGCTCGGACACACGACGCCCAGTGACAGACGCGGACACAGACGGTCACACGGTGTGCGGACCCATTGACATGAAACGTCCAGAACGAGCGCGTCCACGGACAGGAAGTGAGGGAAGGGAGGGGACGGGAGAGACCGGTCGGGGGGACGCGTGTCCTTCAGGACGATGGGCCTTGTCTGCAACCAGAGCCGAAGGCCGCACGTGCTGTGATCGCGGTCCACGGCGTCAATCGTTCCCTGTAAAACACGAGCCGCATTTGAACTTTTAATTTTAAAACTTTACAGCTAGGGACCGGGGAGGGCAGCGTTGGGGGTGAGGGCCCCGGGGGGCAGGATGTTTTCGAGGGTGATCCAAACGCTGTGGGATGGCATCGCGGTGACTCTCACACGTGTCGGGAGACACGGAAAGCCACGACATTGTGTCCTTTCCGCGGGCGAACCGCGTGGAATGTCAACGACACCTGGCTGGAGCTGTGAAGGGGGAAAAAGCAGCAGATGCGGGTGGGGAGAGGCACAGTCGCCGTGGACGGCGGCTCGCAGCTGCAGCGCCTCGGACGCTTCCACCCGGCACACTGGCCCGCCCCGCCCGCCGTGACCGCCCACACCGCGCCTTCTTTCGCAAGAGCCAGCTCAGCGGGCCCGGCGCCCGGCGGAGCGCCCGGCAGCCACCAAGAACAGCCGTTTGTGCTCGACGCAGAAAATTTCCACCCTGCCACCCAGGCCGCCTCCGGCCCCAAACCACAAGCCGCGCCTGAGTCAGCCGTGTCCGAGACGGCGATTTCTTTATTAATCAGCCGTGCCGCTCGGCAGTCAGGCCACGTGGCCAGGGGCCGCTGCTCCCGGCGTGAGCTGGGCTGCCTGGCCCAGGACAGGTGACACTCGTGGAAGTACCTGGCAGCAGGGAAGGCGCCTCAAGGCTGCAGGGGGGCGGGGCCCGACGCCCACAGGTTCTCTGCAGCCATTCACGTGCTCACCTGCCTTGTGCCCTCTGCCGTGTGTGGCACGCACATTCCCACTCTTCAGAAGGTCCCACTGGATGTAACGACCGTAGGCGGGGAAAGTCCACTGCCCTCTGTGCAGAAAGGCAAAGAATTTCCCCCAAACGTGCGTGACCTCGGGAGCCCACAGCAACATTCACTTCGGGGCCACCATGCCCCGCGTCCAGCCGTGTCCATGGCCCGGGGCCGGCGGCAGGCTCCACGCACACGCGCTGTCCCCGCGAATTCCCACCGTGTGACCGTCCGTGTGTCCCTCCACAGCGGCGAGGACGTGCTCCGAGAAGCATGCGATCCTTTGGCCCCGGGAGCCGAGGACGGAGCCCGGGGGAGGGTGCAGTGGGGACAGCCCGCAGAGGCGTGTGGGGCTTGCACCTGGGCGTGCACAGGCAGAGCGGGCTGCACACTCAAACCGAAACTCGCCGCCGTTTTTAACTGGCTTCGGGGAAGCTGTCTGTGCCCTGGCAGCAGATGGGGCGTCGTCCCCGGGGAAGGACACAGCCGCTCCTGACGGGCCGACAGCGGGCGACGGTCCAGACATGCTCGCAAGGCCGTGCGGGCCTCTCCACA